GTCCTCTGGCGGTGTCGTATACGTTTCACAGTTCTACTCCGGATTGGACACTTGTGAGTTGGTGTAGCTGGGGGATGGACTGACGAGTATGCCGGTAATCGAAAGGTCCATGGTTCAATCCAAGGTGTCAGCCAATTTTCACATCCCCGGGTCGGCAGTGGCATCCTCGGTGGTAGTATGAGTGTTCAAGCAGATGATCTTGTTTGGAATCTTCCGCTTGGCCTTACTTATCGGTCGACGAATCCCCATGGCTGGCCGAGGTGAGCCTTCACCGGGTCTACTCTCTCTGACGCTGTGAGCAATGACAGATTGCTAGCTTAGACATCTCAAAGGCCTCAGGTTGATACTGACCATTGAGGGTGATGATTGGCTGGGTCGAAGGGTGGCGGTCGGGTATGGTGTGGTCACGGTGCCGACTTGTCCCGGTAGCTTGACGGTATTCACGCACGTCGTATCAGCCCAACTTTGCAGGACGCCACGTCAGGACGTGTTTCGTATATCGGCCATGCAGTAGCACCTGGCAGGCGAGAGTGATGGGGTGGTTGATGGGTAGCCCGGCTCGGCTCAAGGATCCGAGAATCCTTGCTGGAAATGATGGTCGCGATGGTGAGCTTGTCTCTCACGCCGCTTGCGATGTACCGCCTTTCGTCAGTGCTCCGTGTGGCCTCCTCTGGGCTGGAGGTCACAGTGACCTTTAACGTAGCCCTCAAGGATGTAGAGGGCACAGACTACCATTTCACATGACACACGGTTGCTGGTTTCCTTGTAACCATTCACTAGTCTCGCGTGAGTCGTTCATGGGGCAAGCACTACTGGTGCCGTGGATCATGGGTAGGATCTGGACTTCGGTCTCATCCTGAAACAGATGACATTCGTCGACATTCCCGGGCGAGGATTTTTCTGCGCGCTGGCGTATACTTCTGATGGCCCTTTGGTAGCCCTCGTTCAGTCTCGTCTGGTTGGGGTGACTCTGCTGGCTCATTAGGTAGTCAGATTGTTTTCGCCCCATAAGTTATTGAGCTTTGTACTGAATGGCAGCCGCCATCAGCCAATGCTCAGGAGGATCACCGGCATGGTCCCTCGGAGAAACTACAAACTCGTACGACTAGAGATTTTGAATGAAAAACGAGGACGAGAAGTCGTGTCTAGTCACCAGACACCAAGAATGGCTGTCGCCACGTTAGGTCGTTCAAAGAACAGGCTCAACAAAAGTAATCGTACCATCGGTACTAGTACCCGATGACCCGGGACATAAGACTGTCATTAGTAACCGCGCAGACGATTCGTGGCTCTAGCTCGTTATTCAGCTACAGCTCCGGGCTGTTGTTTCCCGACTCGACCGTTGTAGTAAAGGGAACGGGTCCCATAATACCGTCAATGAAGTCGTTGATCATGAGGAGGGCCGCCTCTGGTTGCTCGGTGGGTACGAGATGGCCAGCTCGATAGACCTATAGACGGGGTGTTGCGGTCCCTACGATGTTTCCTACCTGGAAGAATCCAAACATTCCCTTCTCCTTCCATCTGATACTGCGGAGTAGACCGACGGAGATACCATCAGCACCCTGAGGGAGAAGGCCTTTTCAAGAGCCTGGACTTGAGGGAAGTGCTCGGGATCTCTCCGGGTCAACCTCGTATGCCTACCTCGTATTCATAACGAGGGGCTCTGAGGAATGCATCACGACCGGGCCAAGCCATCTCATTGGCCACGTGCTCATACCCAATCCAATTACAGATGTAATCTTGATCACCATCATACAGAAGGACCTTTAGGATAGACATAGCACCCGTAGTACAGGAGCACAGTACTCCAGAGTACACGCATTATAGGCTACTACCCGACCCCGGCTGGAGTGAAATAGAGATTATCAAAGGCTATACCATCAACCCCTGCTACAATCCATGATCGGCGATGAGTAGCTCACTCTGATCTCGGCGTCGAGCAAGTCCGGCAGAAGTGTCTCGGTAGGCGTGATCTCGTCCATCGAGAAATCCCCAACCTGACTTATTGAAATGACGAGGGTGGGTAGGAGATCCTCACATCAGAACAGGACTTGAAGCGCTTGCAGACTCCAAGCTTCCTCTGCACGTCTTTCCTGTTAAGATAGCGCTCCAACTGAGAATAACACAGTAGCTCAAGCAAGGACCTATCCTAATCGTGCCTGACGACTGACAACAGCAGCAACCCACCCGAGCGTCTCCAATGTCCCCTGTGCTCCCATCCTTGGAGGTAATTCTCATATCGTATCTGAGGCGTAGTCGGCGGACAACAGTAGCCTGTATGAACGGCATTCCACGACAGCATACTGCGGTATATGAATCATGACTTACACATTGATGCCGCGCCTGCCGAACGGGACAAATGAATCGAGAAAGCTACAGGTAGTGGCATACGGACAAGCGGAACCTGAGTGAATTTAAAGATGACGATGAGCGCTCGCTGCGGGCTATATGACAGAATGTAGTAGCTCCCTCAGCGAGGAAGTATCGGTGGACATGACGGGTGAGGTGGGAAGACCAGAAACCCAGTAGAGAGGCTCATACGGTCGATGGTGGAAAGTGAGGATCTTTATGTTTTCCAATGGAAAATTTCCATTGACACCGCTCCAAAGGGGACGGAGATCCTCCTTACTGTCTCCAGCCAGACAGCGTGTTATGTTCCTTGAACACCCTATCACAGCCCTACTCATCGTCAGGTATCTGAACAGGTAAATACACGCTACATTGTCTAATGTATTCGCACTCTTTGCGGGTGGCGACGTGCGGAGCGGTGCAGCTCTGGAAGGCCATCTCGGGGTAGTCGAGGACCCTAGAAGGACCATCACGAGCTTCTCATGTCTTCATCATGAAACCACCCACTGAATCGCAGCATTCATCCACCCATTTCCAATGGCTAACCCGCGAAGGGGGATATGAGGTTCGATCCCTCTCGTAATCTCCCGCAATATTTTATGGGCTATAGCGGGTATGTAGTGACCTGAACCATAGGAATAGTCGATGTTGTGGTATTGCCCCTTTCTTCACCGTTACCAGCATATGACTCCCCAGTGATATAGAAGTCCTTGCCCCTATACTGGGTATGCTTAGCGAGGAACTCCTGTAGTGCCATGTACCTATTTGCCAAGAGTCTTTAGTCTACTGCGCAAACACATGCAGAATGATGCAGAAGGTGCCCCTCCTCCCTACAGATCATCAGCGGCCCCGAATGAGCCATTCGTCACAGGTGGACCATCGGCGAATCCTGCTCCTGCTGGCTGGTCCACAAAGAGCAGGTTGGCTCGGGTGTTCCAAGAGTATCTGAGATGTCGCTGCGAATCAGCGAATCTCTCGATTGACGATTCTCTCAGTGATGCACAGCCAGAGCTTCTTACGGGTTGAGCTTAGTGTCATTCCCATACTCATTGATGGTGCATGGGCCATTCTCTAGGAAGAGTCCTGTCATGCTGCTGCAGCCGGGCCCTCCGTTCGAGCCACAAGACAAGTGGGTCTTTGGCTGGGTTAGACCGAGACTCGAAGAGCCAGAAGAATAGTCTGCTATGAGTTTGCGTACTCGAGAGAGTCCACGAGCAAATGCTCACCTTCTCCCATTGCTACCGCTGTAGTAGCCGTATACTTGTTTAACCGCCGGATCACAGAGGTCTTTGCCGCGGCTTAGGAAAGACACGCTGTCGACGTCACTTTCCTGTGCCTCCTCTCCAAGTGGCTGTGTTTCCTCTAAGGTTTCTGAGAAGAATCGTTCGTTGAACTTCAACGGTTGAAGTAATAATATGGTTGGTGCTGCTAGTGATGGCGACTCGGTGTTCTCCCTGTGTACCGTTGGGCAAACGATAAATCATTCGACTGCTAGCCCAGGCAATCAGCGAGAGCAGGAAGGCGACGAAGCTGATAATGGACATCGATGATGAGGTCGAAACTATGGGTGCCGAATTCGATGTATCTCGGAGAGGCAAGGCGACGGTACTCACTATAACTCAGTACAGTGCGGCCACTTCAAGACAGGGCTCAAAGAATCAGAGAAAACTGATCTCGTTCCTAAGTTACGGGCGAACGTATTCTCAATCGCATGACGAGGGTTGCACGCGATTGCTGGGGCCGACAGATACAAATTGTATCTGTATCATACAATGCGAAAAAAGGCGCACAGGGAGCAATGTGGGTACGCAGCAGCAATGGAGGTGGCAATGGAGGCTGGCCAAACTTGTGTTGTTGCTCCACCAGGCAGCTTGTTGCAGAACCGCTAACAATCTCCGATCGGAGATTGTCTCTGCGCATGCGTACAAGTTCTTTTCCAGTGCCTGCGTGCTGCTGTGCGGGCGTGAGCCGCATCTCTTAGTAGACTTCTGTCGTACAGAAAATAGGCATCACGCAAGCTCATCAGCTGGTGACATAGAGTCACGACGATTCGCGGCCCACGTAAGCATCATGCACTGCAGTCTGAGGTTCTACACACGTCTCCTCGCATTATCCCACGAAATTATCATCATGAGCGGAGCTCATTGCGCACACAGAGGCGTTCTTTCTGGCAGGAACTTTCTCCTGCTGTGTTGAAGGCTGAATGTTTCAGACCTTGATTGAACACCGAAAGCAACTTCTCCGGCATCCACTCGGGGATGCCGGCGGGTCCTATCCCAGAGAGGTGGCGCTGGGACTCGACTTCATGAAACACTGAGAGTAATCGTTGCGAAGTACGTCGAGCCCCCATTATTACGTGGGTGTGGTCAATACATGGTGTATAGAGCTGCTGTGCAGCCTGCCACTGCGTAAAGCGCTCTGGCTTACAACGTGCGAACACTCAAAGTCATCAGACTCAAACTCAAAACGGATGAAACATCGCCGGCAGGACTAAGGATGGCGCAGCATCTAGTACCCCAAACTCATAGTCTGAGACTCTCAGACTCTGAGTATGAATCTGTCTATCTGGGTTCAAATCCCGGTAGAATCCTTTCGTATTGGTCCATGTCTGCTCGCAAGTGACGGCGGCGCCCTGGAAACGATTTTCGTTGGGTCCTATGGTGTAACGGTTAGCACTCCAGACTTTGAATCTGACGTTCTGGGTTCAAATCCCGGTAGAACCTTTAGCATTGATCGATGTCTGCTCGCAAGTGACGGAGGCACCCTAGAAACGACTTTGGTTCGGTTCTATGGTGTAACGGTTAGCACTCCAGACTCTGAATCTGGCGATCTGGGTTCAAATCCCGGTAGAACCTTTCGTTTTGGTCCATGTCTGCTCGCAAGTGACGGTGGCGCCCTAGAAACGACTTTGGTTCGGTTCTATGGTGTAACGGTTAGCACTCCAGACTCTGAATCTGGCGATCTGGGTTCAAATCCCGGTAGAACCTTTCGTTTTGGTCCATGTCTGCTCGCAAGTGACGGTGGCGCCCTAGAAACGACTTTGGTTCGGTTCTATGGTGTAACGGTTAGCACTCCAGACTCTGAATCTGGCGATCTGGGTTCAAATCCCGGTAGAACCTTTCGTTTTGGTCCATGTCTGCTCGCAAGTGACGGTGGCGCCCTAGAAACGACTTTGGTTCGGTTCTATGGTGTAACGGTTAGCACTCCAGACTTTGAATCTGGCGATCTGGGTTCAAATCCCGGTAGAACCTTTAGCATTGATTGATGTCTGCTTGCAGGTGACGGTCCCGCCTAGAAACAACGCCCCGCCGGTTCTATGGTGTAACGGTTAGCACTCCAGACTCTGAATCTGGCGATCTGGGTTCAAATCCCGGTAGAACCTTTCGTTATGGTCCATGTCTGCTCGCAAGTGACGGTGGCGCCCTAGAAACGACTTTGGTTCGGTTCTATGGTGTAACGGTTAGCACTCCAGACTCTGAATCTGGCGATCTGGGTTCAAATCCCGGTAGAACCTTCCGCATTGGTCCATGTCTGCTCGCAAGTGACGGCGGCCCCTAGGAACAACGCCCCGCCGGTTCTATGGTGTAACGGTTAGCACTCCAGACTCTGAATCTGGCGATCTGGGTTCAAATCCCGGTAGAACCTTTCGTTATGGTCCATGTCTGCTCGCAAGTGACGGTGGCGCCCTAGAAACGACTTTGGTTCGGTTCTATGGTGTAACGGTTAGCACTCCAGACTCTGAATCTGGCGATCTGGGTTCAAATCCCGGTAGAACCTTTCGTTATGGTCCATGTCTGCTCGCAAGTGACGGCGGCCCCTAGGAGCAACGGCCCGCCGGTTCTATGGTGTAACGGTTAGCACTCCAGACTCTGAATCTGGCGATCTGGGTTCAAATCCCGGTAGAACCTTTCCTTTTGGTCCATGTCTGCTCGCAAGTGACGGCGGCCCCTAGAAACAACGCCCCGCCGGTTCTATGGTGTAACGGTTAGCACTCCAGACTCTGAATCTGGCGATCTGGGTTCAAATCCCGGTAGAACCTTTCCTTTTGGTCCATGTCTGCTCGCAAGTGACGGCGGCCCCTAGGAACAACGCCCCGCCGGTTCTATGGTGTAACGGTTAGCACTCCAGACTCTGAATCTGGCGATCTGGGTTCAAATCCCGGTAGAACCTTTCGTTATGGTCCATGTCTGCTCGCAAGTGACGGTGGCGCCCTAGAAACGACTTTGGTTCGGTTCTATGGTGTAACGGTTAGCACTCCAGACTCTGAATCTGGCGATCTGGGTTCAAATCCCGGTAGAACCTTTCTTTTTGGTCCATGTCTGCTCGCAAGTGACGGTGGCGCCCTAGAAACAATGCCCCGTCGGTTCTATGGTGTAACGGTTAGCACTCCAGACTCTGAATCTGGCGATCTGGGTTCAAATCCCGGTAGAACCTTTCGTTATGGTCCATGTCTGCTCGCAAGTGACGGTGGCGCCCTAGAAACGACTTTGGTTCGGTTCTATGGTGTAACGGTTAGCACTCCAGACTCTGAATCTGGCGATCTGGGTTCAAATCCCGGTAGAACCTTTCCTTTTGGTTCATGTCTGCTCGCAAGTGACGGCGGCCCCTAGGAACAACGCCCCGCCGGTTCTATGGTGTAACGGTTAGCACTCCAGACTCTGAATCTGGCGATCTGGGTTCAAATCCCGGTAGAACCTTTCGTTATGGTCCATGTCTGCTCGCAAGTGACGGCGGCCCCTAGAAACGACTTTGGTTCGGTTCTATGGTGTAACGGTTAGCACTCCAGACTCTGAATCTGGCGATCTGGGTTCAAATCCCGGTAGAACCTTCCGCATTGGGATCGCGTAGTGTTCCGTTAATAGACCTGTGGAACAAGCCACAGTATACCCGGAGGAAAACTCGAAACTGACTGCAAAACAACACCGGTGAGTCACCAACAAATCGGGGATTCTCAGGATTGCCTGAGTAGCCGCAATACACATGGTCCATGAGGACTAGCTCGGAATATGCTTTGCCCTTGCGAGACCAACATAAGCGCCTCCCGGGCTTCCATCTCCTCTATCATACGTTGTGAACCAACGCCTCATAAAGACTTCGCCAAGAATCAAGGCTGGTCCGTATCTACATGGGCCGATGATACGCATGAGGGCATCGAGTCTACGGCCATCTACCTTCCCGGCACGTCCATCGGCATAAACGCGAGAACACACTGTCCCTCTCCAGCATCCAACATGTACTCCTCCGCCGGCACCGCCTGGGAAAGGACAGCTCAGAATTCTTCAGGCCCCATGAAGGCTCACGAGGTCGAATATGACGGCGTTCTCGTCCTTCAACAGGTAATGTATATCCGGATACTTCCGAGACTCCATGGCGATGGTTGCACACGGAGCGGGCGGAAGCCTTCTCGAGATTCTAGCCAAGACAAACGCGATCATCTCAGCCACACAGCGCTAGAAATCCCCACCGTGTGAATAAGAACGAGGGTGCCGCAAAGTAGGTCGTGCCGGTGTCGAATATGAGTTTACTAATTCTGGGAGGGACCCACTGGCGTAACCTAATACAAGACGATCAGGGTAAGGCCGAAGCAACTCTCCTGGCATGAACTGAAAGGTGACTATGATCGAAGCACCTTCGGGTCCCCACGGGCATGCTGGCGAAGGACTCTTCTCCTGGAAAAAATATAATGGGCATCACTTTCACCATCCAGGAGCACCTTACCGATCTTGAAGTCCACCAGCTGAATAGCCCAATAATACTCCTGGACTACTGGGAACATCCGAATGGGTCCATCGTAGAGTCTGAGAGAGGACGGTTCCTGTTACACCGACATGAACCCAGCTGCATGCCGAATATCGGAGAAAAACTTGTCCGCCTGGAGCGCCCTCTCCGCCGGGTCCACGGGCAGCCCGTTATCCTGCCCATGTTAATCGAACTCACCGGGTATCAACTCCACCAAAGAGAATCATGGACCCCTTGCCAGGCGACGGTTGAAAGTAGAAGCTAAACTCGTTCCTGCCTCCTAGCGCGTCCTGGCGCATAACGTTGTCGAAGAAGGGCAGCTGCCCATCTGTCGAACGAGGAAGCTCCCACACAACCGACCCCAACGCTTTCGACTTACTAGCAGCCATCTTGGGAAAGGCCAACCCTAGAATACCCTCAAAAGGGATTTGCTGGAAGATCTTGCCGATCTCTTTTTGTATCATGGCAAAACTCTGGTTGCTGACCTACATCGAGCCGCTCGATTTCAGCGTCGTTCAGTGCGCGTATTTTCGCCCCCTTCCAACCACCTTGTATGGGCCAACCGAGATTGTATCCAAAGCCATCAGACCTCTCAACTCTCCCGTTCCAAACAGGATATCCAAATAACGATTCCTGGTAAGAAGGGCAGAACAGCAGGTGCAATAACGTTATGGTCATCACCTTCGATGCGGCTCGACGAAGGTCCGACTCTTAGCCTCGCTGTACTTGTGCAAGGAGACGCAGGCAGGTGACTCACACAGATCAGACTGGACCCAGATATTAGTGGACCCTGATACTGGAGTATGAGAAGAGGGCCAGGGTGGTAGTGGAGTCCTACCAGTATCGAAGACAACGTTAACGGTCTGCTGAGGGCTGTTCGCGTCTTCATTGGAAGACGTCCCGACCCCTAGTGGACCGACATACTGAGTGTCATGCAGATTATAGAGGGGTATTCCCGCTGAGAACGAGAGGATGGGCAGCGAAGCTCGCTAGTTAGCAGCCCACTCGTTATCGGCTCTAGTTGAGCTTGCCTGTGTAACTGGAGCAAGGAGGCCAGTCCACTTGTCGATGAGCGGCGACCTGATCGGACAATTCTCCTTCCCTCACAAAAGTTGAAAATGAGATCATTCTCAGTGGACTCTACTATAGACTGATGATGGCATGAGACAACAGGAAACCCCTCGCGACGATCTCGAAAAAAAGCACATGGTCGACTGAGTCAATGTGGTTGGAAGGGCCTGTATGTGGTCACCATGAGTCGATGATGCTTGGAGAGGTATGGTGTGGAGAGCTCTCCTCCCACTGTGAATACGCGAATCACAACCCAACTGAAAGGGGGCTATCAAGCGAAGAAGAAGAGGTCGAATTATGGTATCATTACTATCAGCAAGCAGAGGGATATTAAATACTGATTGCAGTGCATGCCATAGTAACAGTCAACTGAACAGGACACCTTCTACGCTAGCATGCCCTGAGGTGGACGATGACCCCCGCCAGTTTTGGGCGAGCGCTACAACTTATGCGCTTCGGCAATCTGCGCGCGCCCACAGATCTGCCCGACTGGCTGATACATTTGTATGGCTAGGTCCCTTGCGTGTAGTGACCGGTGGCATAGACTGGCAGGTGAGGGTGACGGTATTGCTGAGGCCGTTGACCAGCCCAACTAGCGTAACGATAACACATATGACGAGTCATCGAAACATGGATTTGAAAAGTTTCTTCTCTCTTCTACGATCCGCTTGCAGTTCGACTCGAACCCGAGAGAGTAGGCCTCGAGCCTCTGGGCATCTCTCCAGAATCCCCTGATCAATGAGGTGCCGCCCTGTGAGTGTCTAACACCTCTCACCTCCAGGATATTGACAGCCCGATCTTCCTCCTTACGCTGCTCTATTAATGCCAGCGCTAGCCGATACCTAACGAGGGAGCCACTGACCTTACACAAAGAGGAGCTCCGACCTAGCCTTGATGTTGTCCGGGTCGAGCT